ATAGAGGCGAGAGAGAGAGAGAGAGAGAGAGAGAGAGAGAGAGAGAGAGAGAGAGAGAGCTTTTTTTATTCTCATACACAGGTTAAAAATTCCATATGGAATTTTAAATTTCATAGGAGGTGCAAGCATTGTGTACTCCAGTGTAACGATGATAGGAATAGACAAACTTGGGGCAACCAGAGTGATACTTAAATTATTGATTATGTAAGATGATGTTCATGTTACATAATCAATACAATAATATAAGAACTCTCAGTGAGAACAACTGTGAGCAAAGCTGATAGTCACTAGAATTACCAAGCCAATATGTAATGTAATCACCAAAATCCTATCTCTATACCATCATTTATACCATCAGACCCTCTGAGCAGCTTCATCTCATTATAGGAAAGTAGATTTAAAGAAAGAAAAACTTGGGCCTAGTTGATTTTAAATAATTTCTGAAATTTGAAATGTCCCACCTAAATAAGAAAATAAACATATATAAATCATTGAAGAAGTAGCATTTGTCTAAGTTATTGATTATGTAGCTGAGAATTACATGATTCATTTATTCAATTTTCTAAAGGCACAATGTCAATTTTTCACTGAGGCATCCACACAAGAAGAATGATACTATTTTTAAATCACCACAACATAAATTAAAGAATTTAAAAATTTAGATGTCAAAAATAAATGCTGAATCAACTAAATTTTTACCTTTAATTATCCAAATTATTTAGAAAATATTTTATCCTTTAATTATTTCAAACTGTCAAATTAATTAAAATGATAGTGATCACAAGATAATAATAGGTATTTCCTGAAAAAAAATCAGTTACAAATTTAATTATATTTCTAGTAATCAAAAAACTTAGCATTTTGAAAATGTTCACATAGATCATTTATAACAAGTTTATAAAAACTAGAATAAAACCAGTATGGATAGTAGCATTATTTTATCTCAATTCTAACCACAGTCATGTATAGCCAAACTTGGCCTGTTTCTTCTGTTCTCTTTTACATATAACATTAAAAATTAAAAAACTTTTATGTAAAGTTCAAAAACTTTGGTAATGTCAACAGTAATATATGGCAGCCAAAGTGTCAAAGAGAGTAAAGTGACACAAAGCAGAGACAATATATAAACCATTAATTTTTTGAAACAGAACTTACAACTTCCACAATCAAAATATACACCAATTTAAAATATAATTGTTTTTGAATAATTAAACAACACCAAGCAAACTAAGTAGAAAGACTGCCAGCATGATCTTTATAAAGTATGAAGTTTACAAATCCACAAAATAAAATCAGATGTCGAGTATACTATGTAGTGCTATGCTGACCAAGGAAACCTCTTTAACATGGGCTTAGAGTCCAGAATGCAACAGTGAAGCTTACTTTTTTATATTTAATTGTTCTTTAAGTACACAAAAGTCCCATAGGATGAGAAATTTCAGCATTCCAAGTACATATGGAAAGCTCTTCTGTTTCTTTTAACAAGAGAAAATGATCAAACTGGTTATGTAACAATGCAGCTACATAGGCTCCAAACATCTTTTATAATGATTTACAGAAATTGTTTGCAATATGCAACATTTCAGAAAACAAAGCACACTCAAAGCTGTTAACTCACTCCTAGATTTGACTTGAATCAAGAAGGTATTCAACAAGACAAACAAGGCAAATACTAGTCTAAAAGGAAGGTTTAATTCCTCAGGCTCCATTTCTATGTTTGTGGAGCTATAACTTTAGTTTCATTTCCAGATCTGTATTTATAAATGCTAAACAATATGATCTTAATCTGATACTCTCAAAAGTTTAGTCCTAAAATGTGGCACTTTTTTTTAGCATAACTATTTGCTGTGATTAACATAAACCACAGAATCCTGGGACCTCTTACTGGGAAGACTAAAAATGTGTTTACTCATAAATAATTTATCATTCAATCAGCAAACAATGGCGAGGGCTGGAACAGACAGGTGATGTCCAACATGAAGAACACATAGGAAAATTTGCTAGAGAAGTCAAAATCAGCTCAGAAAATCACTTATCATGGATGTGCAGAGAACTGACAAAGAGGCTACTTTTCACTCCACATGAAACTATGAAAATTAAAGATGTATCAAAGTTTGCGTACTAATTACCAGTTACAAAGAGAATGGAAAATAGGGACAAATTCTAAAGCTTTTAAAATCTCTTTTGAGAAGCTTAATAAAAAAAAAAGCATCTGAAAGTACTCAACTTTGCATATTAACTCGCCAATACTGAAAGCTACATGTGACCAGAGAGGTCAAGGGCCACACTGGAATCTTTTGACCCATGGAACTATCAGTCTCCAGGCAAGGCTGTGTAGGAGATCATTTTACATAGATATATCAATCATACTCTTCAAGTTCAGCATTCTACCTGCTTCACCTGAGAGAAGACAGGTGCTCATCCTCAAGGCAAATGAAACTCCAAGTCTGTAGTCTCTTAACTACCCACAGTTAAAAGGGACAGACAACTGTCCAAGCATCTCTTTGGAAAGAGCTATGCTATGTTTCTTTTCTTCTTCACAAGAAGGGTATGCATATGTCACTACTGCAACAATCTAGGTGCAACAGTGAGATAAGGTCTTGACAACCAATCAGAAGCCACTAGTGAAGCTTTAAAGTAAACGTAGCTGTTGGATCTGCAGCTCTGCTTGGAAAATGCCCATCCATTACTTCAGCAATTTTCTCAAGGCGTGACCTGGCACTGAAATGCCTGAAATGGCACTGGACTCCTGCTTGTGCTTCTTCTCAGGATTCTGCAAATATTTTATAAACTATTCATCAGGATTATTCCTCAATTGTCAGTTTCATGAATTTTCATGCTGTATACGGGGTATAAAATAACTGTAATATGGACCAATTATCCCAGATAAGCCTCATACTTCAAATAGATCATCAAGTTAGTCAGTAAAAGAAAACATGCCACAAAAAGTTTTCAGAGGACCACCTGTT